TCTTTATTTCGAAACGAAACCTCTTAAGCCCACTCCGTTATTATCCGCAATTATATCGATCGAAGTTCATTATGATATACAAACGTGATCGTTCCTCGAACGTCAGAAACCACACAGCATCAGCTATCGTGTGCACTTCAACATCTATCCGACGAATGGAGGGAAATGTTGTGGCGCCATCGGTAAATTCATCATCGCCGTCGCATGAAATTCTGCAGTCAAACGAACTGTGAGGGAGTCACCGAGCGAAGCCTGTATGAACATAGACTGCGATTGTCTTCGCAGGCATTCTGTTATTGAAAACACCTGCCTTCAGATATTATTTATACGGGCTCTGTTCGAATGTCGATAGCCCGTGCTCCTCATTGCACTCAAAAATCTCGAGGAATCGACTTCGCTATGCCGCAAAAGGAAAAGCTACTGGACGCCGCCGGCTCGAACAAAATCATACCACCTTTCAGCAATAACTTTCCTGCCGGTAGTCGGGAGCGACATAAAACAGGAAGGCTAGATGGTATTGAGGCGTTCATGCCGAACAAATCACGATTGTTCAATAACATATAACATGTTTTAAAGACAAAATACACATTATACAAAATATTAAAACAACCCCCGCATTATAGGTTAAAAAGTTAAATCTGAGGTTGCAATAACTTCGGTAACAAACACAATTTCCTGCCAATTCTACGGTCATAGAAGGCGCAATGCACCGATCCATCGCTTGTAGCAGCGTAGGCAATCGTCTACGCACTGAAACCACTTCGGAACCATGATCTGTTCAAACGGTCTGAAACTTAAACTCAGCCATTACATAGTTAAGGCGCATTTTTAAACGGTTATTTATAATTGTTCATGCGGCATTTCTGATCTTAATTAATCGCTGTCTTAACGCGTCATTAATATGAAGCGAGGAGGCGTGAGGTCAGACATTCTCTGACCATTATGAGAAGTCTTTCATGGTGGTTTCTTTTAGAAATTGTAGCAATTCAACGAACCTTCTTTCTGTCTATCGCTTTCTCACAGAAAGAATATAACGGAACTTTATTATTTAACCAACGAAAATCATGCTTCCGCATGCGGGCATATTCATTTAGTTACAAGCGAACGTGCGTTAAATCTTTCATAAGCTAAGAAGTACGTAGGCAGAACCATTCCGACGAAGCTTTCCCATTGCACCGTCTGGCATCTGGACCAACTGTTTGGCTGCAGCGTAGGCAATGACTCTATAAGCAACCATATTGCTCAGGATAATATAGTCTAATCTAGTTTTCGATGTCACGTAGGCAATGAGCACCGCCCTGTTTCCAATGAAGCCAATTACCGGTGCTCCGGAAATGCCCTATAATGAATGAAAAGTACACAATTAACTGTTTTTATGACGTAGCTACGTCACAAGTAAATCTTAGCCTCCGGGTATCAGAGGCACAAAATATCTAACGGGCACGACATCGACTGCACAATCGATACTCATCATCCGTCATGATAAAATATGGCTGCACTGCTAAATAACCTTTATTCGAACTACGGAATGAGTCTTACGTGATTCGGATAAAATTTAAAATTACATATATTGATTGAACTCGTTTGAAACCTCCTAATATTCACTTTACGTAGAAGGCAGTTTCTTTTATTTTACCACCGTTTTGCCCAGACGATACTACGATATGCGCAGAGTGCCTCATTGGCATTAAAACTGTCTATCCTCACTCTGTTTGAGACATAAACAAGATACCAAATGGCTTCTGACAAATCATTCAAGCAAAATACTAATTTGCACTACACAGTTGATCAGTTGACTGATTGTTATTTTTGGTCGTTAAGAGGTACACGCGTCACGCAATGACTTCGGCGATTCCGATCTTTCTGATCTCCAACCTGGCTGATACCCTATATCAAGCATTCCGGGTCATCTATCTCACAACCAGGCTATGATCATGTTACTCGCTCAGCAATTCTCCTCAGATGGCACATCTTAACAGCGTGTATCTGAGATCGTAGGTTTTCTCCCATGGTCGACCATCCGTGACCAGAGATCAGCACCGAGTTGAACATACTGAGCCTGCTTTTGAGGCTCCGCTCTATTTTAATGGTTCGGTCGTGAAGAACTCGACAACGAGATGATACTCGTTATACGGCAAAATCACACTGCTGAAGAATAACCGACAAAATCTATGAATTTAATCAATTTAACCTATATGCATTGCCTACTCACATACCAAATTATATTTTTATTCACAAGGTAATTAGACATGTATCAGAAATCAATTTATACTGTATTTATAACACCTGAATACTTTATTCAGTTGACCGGATTTCCCACTTTCCACCGCGCAGATGTGGTACTCGGGTCTGTAAAACATACCGCATTTCATGTGTTTACTTGAGTCAAAGACTTTCAGCTTGACACCTCCAATGACTTGCTTGACTAAATAATTCGGTTTGTAAATCTAATATTTTTTGACATTAAATTCATACCACCACGACTATCGAAAGCGTAGACGACGAAGCTGCTTCCAGGTGGCAAAATATGAGCGTCATAGGCGTGTGGAATACCCACAGCCTGAACTGTCCTGCGCATTACGATCTTCTCTTGAACTTCAATAAGGGCAAAATCGTTAACCGGAACGTAATGCAAAAGTCCTTGATTTATGATTATAGTCCTGGCATGGACAACCACGGCATTTCTGAGGTCTGATAAATTGTGAACGCCCAAAACGAGTTCGACCAGACGCAACTCCACTAGCTTTGTTTTCTCTGGGCTAGAGTAGAATTAGTTTTAAATCATTGAAAGACCGGAAAGCGATGACACTGAAATACACACTGGCTAAATAATTATTGCCGGTCCAAGTTTTGAATAAACTGTGACAAAAAAACACATACGAAATAAAACATTGCGTATGGGCTGACAAAATGTTCATTATCAACCAGCTACAAACCATCTGCAGCATGCGTATAGTAAAGCTTATACGTCTTGCCTCTTTGCCTTACTCTTAAAGGGAAATGACTTGACCTGACCTGTGTTGATATTTCGATAGGCAAGATATGGTCTGGCTACGTTAGCTGCGAAAAATTATGCGACAGCATATTTCCCTGGCAACCACGAAGGATGTCAACGTTGCACAACAATTTGAAGTTGCAAGCATTGCGAAAATTAGAACCAAGAATCTGATTGGTCTGTCGATGTTTCAAGGCCTACATATTAAATGGCAGAATCCTCCATACCGAACGATTCCTGTCCTAGACGAATGCAATCACTTAAAGATGTCCACTTGGACAGGTTTCATACATCCATTGCGAGGGAACTCTTTATTACTGTGCGCCAGTTTTCCATGTGAAATGGGGTAATAGCAGTCGTCAACAATGAGGACATGATAAACAAGGCCAAATGAGATATGATGATGTAAAATGATTGTTCCTCCTGATCTGCAGAAATCGATGCCTTGCTGAAGGTTGTACAAAAACTGTGAATAGCACACGTCACACGCAAGAAATAGTTCAAAACGAACAAGAACCAACAACAACAATATTCGTTCCATCCCGGGTTTAATCAAGAAAAGATATCAATCCATAAAAAACTGAAAGTTTCAATTTTTAATTTGGTAATCCACATGAACACTGACTCTAAACGTTGCAAACGCTTTATTATAGAATCATTGCGGAAAAAAACCAGTGAAAAAATATTTTATTGGTTTTAGTATTATTCTTAAACTGAACGATTCAACTTGTTTCACACCCTTTGCAATTAAACATATGGAAATCGCTTCTATAACTGATTTTATATTTTGCAATTCGACTTACTCTCGATACATGCTGTGACCAGTGACTACGACAAAGTTCGTTCCGCAAATGTCCACTAACGTTCCATGAGCGAATGGAATCCGTGCCTCGCCAGCCACATACCTTAACAACACCAGATAAGGGTGCTCATACTCATGGACCGATATCTGATCGAAACGCCCAGACTGTGCAGTTTTCAGGCGGTAACGGACAGCGCATGCATAAAGGAACTGAAAATATTAATAAATAACTTCAATAATAATAATCAATTAATTAATATACGTTTTCCGTTATGACCAAACTAAGTAGCAGCAGTCGGAAGGAGTTTTTCATGGATCTCGTTTTCTTGCGGCACAGAATTAGTCGTATCCGAACCTGCGACGAAGACCTGAACTCACTTGAACGTCTGGAGGGGGGGTAGTCGTAGAACGAATGAATTTCTGTTTTCTCAAATCATATATCACCGCATCGATTCTTCCGTCGAATCAGAAAGGCACCAAGTATACATTATCGCGTCAATTGGCCAGTCAATTGGCCTTTCCAGAACCTGAATTAA